CATGCCCAACCTATGTTGCAAGAATTTTGTAAAGATATATTTTATAATTCATATTTCATTCTAAGCATGATATTAAATCAATTTTTGAACATTTACCAACATATCTAGGAGCCAAGTACATGGAGCTTTTATTTTTATTTCAACAGTTTTATTGACATATAATTCATATATAATTCCCAGTTTAATAGTTTATAATGGAACTTTTAAAAATCATTTTATTGGGGCCTCATACAACTCTTATCACAATCCATACATACATGAATTGTGTAAAGCACATTTGTACATTCGTTGCCATCATCATTCTCAAAACATTTGCTCTCCACTTAAGCCTCTGGCATCAGCTTCTCATTTCCCCCCCCTCCCTTCCCGCTCCCCCCTCCCTCAGGAACCCTTGATAATTTATAAATTATTATTTTGTCATATCTTACACTGTCTGACGCCTTTCTTCACCCACTTTTCTGTTGTCCGTCCCGCAGGGAGGAGGTTATATGTAGATCCTTGTAATTGGTTCCCCCTTTCCACCCCACCCTCCTGGTATCGCCACTCTCACCACTGGTCCTGAAGGGATCATCCGCCCTGGATTCCCTGTGTTTCCTGTTCCTATCTGCACCTGTGTACATCCTCTGGTCTAGCCAGATTTGTAAGGTGGAATTGGGATCATGATAGTGGGGGGAGGCGGGGACTAGAGGAAAGTTGTATGTTTCATCGTTGCTACACTGCACAATGGGACTTCTTTATCAACCAAAAGTACAACTCTTCTTCACTTAGCAGCTATCTTGTGGCTCAGTAGTTTGCATGTACACTGTAGCAGACTCTACTATCTGACTGTTTTGTGCGTTGCTGACATGGCTGGCAGTAACATGGCAAGGTTCAAGCTGAGAGTAATGGTGGCTGAGGTGGTTAAAATTATGTCAGCTTGACTGGGCCATTATTCTCAGTGGTTTTCGTTTCTGTAATGATATCATTTGGCAGGTATGTAATGATGTAATTCATCATCCATTATGTGTTTTGATGTAGTCGTCCCTCATTTTTGCATAATGTCAATTTCTGCATAACAACCTTGTCTTTAGAATCTAACCATGTCAGTAATTGAGGAGTGTGTGCTGAGATTGGAATATTTGTTTGTTTGTTTTGGTGTTGTTTTTATTTCTAATTTACAATATAAAAATATATTTTGTTCAGTTATACCTTCAAAGGAAAAGCCCTGGTGGTCCAAAAGTTAACAAAAGTTACTAACCCAGGAGTCACCAGTTTAACCCCAGTAGGTACTCCGCGGGAGAGTCTGCTCCTATAGAAATGACAGTCTTGGAATTAACCTAGTGTTTGCAACCATGGGTTCAAAGAAAGCGATGATTGTGTGACTGAAGCAGGACTGAGTGATGTTTCCTTCAGGTGTACAGAGTTACTGCGACTCAGTGCCATCTAACATAGATACACAGTCCCTGATGGACATGCATTTGAACTCCATTTGAGCCAAGTTAGTAAGAAGCAATCTGGAAGATAAAAAAAAGAAAGAAATGACAGTCTTGGAAGCACGATGGGACAGGTACAGCCTGTCCTTGTAAGGTCACTGTGCACGGGGATGAACGTTATGGCACTAGATTTCGTTTAGTTTATACTTTCAAATCAAGGAATGCCCAGTGCTTTGTGGTTGCTAACTTCAGGGATTAGGAGGAAGGAGAGTTCATGTTGGGTTTCATTGGCTTCAAATTCTTGGGAAACAAATGAAACCATAATGGGGCACATTTGGCATAACTTGTCAAATAGCCGAGTGATAAAAAGGAGTTGGATTTAAGCAACCAAACCACAGGTGGCAAATTAATTATATATCTAATGTATGGAGCATGTGGGGTGGGGAGGCGGGAGGCTTCCTGGAAGGCTGCCAATAACTCTTCCTATGCAAAGAGACTCTCTCGCTGCTGACTCCCTGGGAGACATTGCAGCTGACAAGACACATGGAACTACGCTAGTGCCCTTAGCTGGAGAAGCCACATGGACCTACCCTGATGCAACCAGACCTCTGAAGCCCAAGAAGCTACGTGGACACCCCTGCCAGCTCTGAGATACTTACAATGCCACTGGATCTGAAGACTTTCTACCCACTGGCCTGTGATCGTCCTGCATTCAGTGCCATTGCATGTGTTTCGTGAGTCTGAAGAGGACTTTATAGATTGGTATCAGACATATGGGCTAATATCAGATTTACGGGCTTGGACTGGACTGGGTTGGGATGCTTTCTTAATGTACAATTACCCTTTATATAAAACTCTCATATACACATGAGTTTCTATGGATTTTGTCTAGTCTACCCAGACTAACACAAACATATTCAAAAAAATAAATAACTGCCACCTAGTCAATTGCAATGCATGGCGACCCTGAAAGACATGGTAGAACTGCCCTGTGGTTTTCCAAGACTGTTACTCTTTGAAACAGTAGAAAGCCTTGTCTTTCTCTTAGAGGAATATATGTAGAACATTGACAATGCTAATTTTTTTGGAGATATAATTGTTGGGGGGTTTTCTGGGGTTTTTTTTGTGTGTGTATTTTATCTTTTTAACATTGAACTTGAATTATTTTGCAGACAGAAAACAAGTAAATCCAAAGCATTTAAAAATTTCTGTTCTCTCAAAGTAAAAGATTCTCTGCCCCCACCCAAGACTCAATAACCTTATCATATAGGGAAGGGGAAGGGGACACACTGATTGGGGATTTGTCAAAGCCTGAGGTTAACGTTGATTATTTCATTCAACAAATGCTTATTGAGGATCCACATTATGCCTATGCAGTGCTTGGGATCCTGCATTGAACAAGCCCCTGGGAAAAGACAGATAATAAGCAAATGTTTATATCCCGTGGTTGTAAATGCTGAGTGCCATGAAGAAAAAGGTTAAGGGGATTAGTGGATGTTAGGGAGGGGTCGTGTCAATTTACTGCTCTGGATCTGAGTTTCTTCTTTTGTAAAAAGAGAAAGGGCTATTAGAGCAGAGATTAATGAAATCCTTCTCTCAGATTCTCTGGTTCCCTTGACTGTTGAGTGACAGCTGCGTATATGTTTATGTCCCCCAACTCAAAAATGGGTCAATTCTAGCATTGAGATAGAAGAGTAAGTGTATATCCTGAGGAGAATACTTGCTGAATAGCAGCTTGAGTTTTAAAAAGAAACAGTCTTGTTTCTATAACTATTATTATTAATAACAAAGATGCTAAAAATCAAACCATGGCCAGAGAGTTGATTCCTATTCATAGCAACCCTGTGGGACAGAATAAGACTATCTGTCCATAGGGTTTCCAATACTGAAATCTTTACAGAAGCAGAGACCACATCTTTCTTCTTTAAAAGGGCTGTTGGGCTCAAACTGACAACCTACTGGCTGTCAGCCAAGCACTTAACCACTGTACTACCAAAGTTCCTCTAAATGAGGATAGCAGGCCATCCAGTAGTACAACATCCTCAGGAATATAACAAAAATTTAGGGAAATACTATCATAAGATTGGGCATATGTTACAAGCACTGGGAAACTTTAACTTTATCTTCCCAAACGGTTCACATTACTAGTTCTTGTTCGTGCTCACCTCTAGTCAGGTTTTATGGAATATTGGATAAACATAGAGAGTGAAAGAAGCAGAAAGCTCATTGGTGTATGTGGAAGCAATGAAATACGTGTCCCTGTTGAAATTATTCTCAAGTGTAAATATTAGCCTTTCTAAGATGTATCAGTCAGCCCACCTTTTGTTATTTTTGGATAATTTTTTTTTAGCGATAGTGTATACACCTTTTGTTATTTTTGGATAATTTTTTTTAGCAATAGTGTATAATGAATTCTGTGTCATAGTTTTGCCTCGAAATGAGGCGTTAAAGCTTCAGTGTGCTCCATTGGGCTCTCGTGCCATAGTGGGTTACGGGAGGGGCTACCAATTGTAAGATCGGCAGTTCAACTCCACCAGCCACTGGAAGGGGAGGGAGATGAGGTTGTGTGCGCCATGAAGATCTACAGTCTTGGGAGCCCCAAGAAGCAGTTCTACTCTGCCCTCTAGTGTTGCTATGAGTTAGAATTGACTCGATGGTGGGGTTTTTCTTCCTGTTGGCATCCATAAGCTGTTCCTGTGCTGTCTCATGCCATTTTTGTTTGTTTCAGGCATCCTCAGGAACTTGCAGGTCTGATGTTCCAGAATCCCCGGATTCTCGTCAGAAGTCTCCATTGTTTCAGTTTGCTGAGGTGATGTATTGTAACTTAGCATTTAATGAGTTCATAAAGCATGCTGTAATGTGGGCTTATGACTCTTAACAGAAAACAGCAAAGGCCTCTGCTCAATTCAACTCATCATAAATGGGAAAATAGGACTAAATGTTGGAAAGGACATTTTCTTAATCGAAGAATAGCTACAGTTATGTTTTGAGGAGCTAGTTGTTGCTTCTCAGTCGACGCGGACTCGTAGGGGCCAATAGGACATAGGAGGTAGAATTGCTCCTGTTTCCAAGACGGTAAATCTTTACAGGAATAGAAAGCCTCATCTTTCCCCTCGGAGTGGCTGGGAACTACTCACCTTGTGGCTAACAGCCCAGTGTTAACCTGTTATGCCACCAGAGCATCTTTGTTGTTAAGTCATACTAAGTATTAGTACACTTGAATTAGTCACTACCTTTTCTTCATAGGTAATAAAGTTAGGAGTATAATTGAATTGCTAGGACCTACTCGATGATCAGGTTGCCATAAATCAGAAGATGGAATCAGCTCAGTTATTGCCTGTCCTGTGCATCCCTCCTCTCCCCATCCCCCAGTTTCTTCTTGCTAAAACATTAGCATGCAATTGGGGCAGTTTTCAAAGTCTTTCATCGGCTACACGGCTCAATATGTGTCTGGCTCTGTCTCAAAGAAATGTGGGAAGGCACATTGTCCTTGATATCAAGCACATTAACCTTGATAACATAGGTTAAGGCTGCTTCCCAAATATATATCCATTTACCTTAGAACTCAATATGAAACCTTATTGATTAATTTTTTTCTAAACTTTAAATGACCTGGTCTTCCTGGATCTTTTGAATCCTCTTTCACTAGACCGTCTCTAGCACTGTCGTCTTCCTGAGATTCCCGGCCAGGCTGCAGTGTTACTCGGTTGGGACATGTTTTCAGTGTTAGATGACCTTCCCTGCTTTAGGACCTTCTTGGACTCCTCAATATTTTATTGGCAAAACTACCTTCCATGCTAACACGTTAGACCATTCTTTAAGATGTTTTTTATATTGCACCTCAGGGCCTTGTTAATCCCACCAGAATGTTAACTATTTGCTTCCCTGGTACCTACATTTCCTGTCTTCCTGTGTGTGAGATATGCCATGAATTTCTGTTGTCCATATATTTCTCAAGAACATAGCCTTTTCCCTCTGCATTCCCTTTTTGATGGAAATTATAAACATGTTAAATACTGGCCTGATCATTGAACGCAGAGATGCTTAACCAGTGATCCTTAAAGCTCTAAAGATCTAATGAGATCACCGAAGATTCACATGAAAAGTTGATTTTTTTTTCAGGGTGCCTGAGTCCAAGGAGATCCCAGACCCTGTTTGTTTTTGAATAATGGGCCCCTATTCTAATATGCTTCCTGCTGCTCTCTACCCATGCCTTTACTTGAGTATCTTCTTTTCCCTCAAAGTAAGAGAAGCATCCTTTTCCACCGAACTTATGAAATGCTTTTTAACTTCGAAATTCATTATACCACTGATTCCGTTTTGTTCACTGTCTAATTTAATCCTTGAAGGGAATATAGCATAGGTTAGGCATTTCTGTACATTTTTATAAAGGATTATTAAGAATGAAAAATAATGTATAAAATAACACCTACACATAGTTTATTTATCATTCTTGGGACTTCAAAGCTATCCTTGTAGATTCATGCTCAACACTCTGCCAGGCCTGCACATGGTGGTCTTTCTTGCGAAAGGTTAAGTCTCTTGGTGAGATCATCAAAATCTCTTCACTTTCACCCGCGGTGTCTTCAAAACACTCGGATAAAACGTACCCGTCCACAATGGTTTGTTTATATCTACTTTGTTAACTGGAATCTGAGAGATCTTCTTAATGATCTTACTGATAAATCATTCTTTTGCATCTGTCTGATTCAAAAGCTATAGTAGAGTTAAACATTTCCCAATAGCTTCAGTAGTAACAAAATAATTTTATCTCTAGACCAAATCTTTCTCTTCCCTCTGCCTCACTGTGAGATTGCATCACCAACTGACCTCGTTGGTTTGTTAATTTAATGAAGATGAGAAAAATGGATTTTGAGATTGTAGAGGTAGGATTAAGCTGCCCTTATTGCTTAATAAGTGTCACATGATGGAATTGATGAGCACAATTAATTATTTTTTTTAAAAGGACTTTTGTGGGTCAGAGAATGTCCTGAAGTTATAATGCCTAGACTTTCAGCTCACACGACTCCTTCACCCTCTTTCATAGCTGAGCAGGAACTTTGTTCCCTTTGGAACCAAAATTAATGACAATTCTTCCTCTAAAAAAACAAAACAACACTTGAAAAGTATTTCCACCTGTCCACAAATAAGACTTTTCTGCTGAGGCTGCCCTAAGGCCCCAGTGGAGCCAAAGGGTCTGTGCCACAGCGGAATCCTCTCGCCACGTCAGGTACCTGACAGTGTACATGAAGTCGGCACGGTGTCACAGAAGAAGGACATGTTGTCCACATTCGGTATTGAGTTCTGATGCCATGCCATGGTAATGCATGTTACACAGTTTCTTTTCTTACCACCATAATCCTGTGTGGTGGGGATTAGCATCTTCATGAACATCAACTTATAGTCAGGAAAAAAGAAGTCTCAGGAAAGTCAAGTGAGCGATTGTAGGTCATGTAGGGATAAGTAGCAGAGCTCAGATTCAATCCCAAATACCCTGACCCACATCTGTACAGTCTCCAACACTCTCCGAGCTCTGTCTCTGCAGAGAACAGCTCAGAGGGGGAGTGAAATAGAGAAGAAAGTGACTGGCTTTTACTTGCTCCCTCTGTCTTATAATAAATGTTATGTATTTTCATCGCAATAAGGAAATTCATCCCAGCAGGTCTCTATGTCTGTTATTTGATATTTACCTGATACCTGACAAGGACTATGGCAAATGAGCCAAACTCCATCTTTTTGTTTTTTTCAATCATCTGGTTTTAGAAACATAGCCTTTGTCTTCCTTTATCATTTATATTGTGCTACTAAAGGGGATTCAGGGTGATGATTCATGTTTAAATATTTATCAGTGTCTACAGTAAAAATATATGAATCTAAGAGTCTGGTGTGAGGAAATTAAAAATTACTTGTTCCGTTTCAGATATCTTCAAGTACGTCCCACTCAGACGCACCCCCAAAACAGTGTGAAGCATCAGCTTTGTTTCAGTTTGCGGAGGTACGGCTTTTCTCTCTGTCTCATGCTTTTGGGGCTCAGAAAATACTGAGATGGAGTTTTAATAATGTATAGTGAACTTTAGACGTGCCTTCTTATCATTATTAACATAATACAGAGAACAGGATATGCACTGCATTTTACTGCCTTTGGTGTAATAGTCCAATCAACTGATTTTCTACCCATTTCAGAAACATTTTTTAAGCGTTCGTTCAGAATAGATAAGTACCAGTAATTCATATACAAATACATTCATTTTCCCTTATTTTTTCTGTATTTTGGAAGCTTGGAAAAACTGCTGTCATGAGAAGTCCAAAGGATTCCAATTTATTAAATTCTTCCAGTAGTTAAATTAGATCTGTGATTCATGAATAACACTCTCAAAGGGAATGCGGTGGTAAATAACAACTTCGCTTTCAGTGGGATGTAGCTTTAGCCAGTCTTTTCATTAGTGTTTAATCCCAGCCGTAGAGCAGGTCAACTCTTGTCGAGCTCAGATTTCTTTGGGTTCTCAGCCAGGAAGTGAGTGCACACTAGACAACAACTCCCTGATTGGTGTGATGAGGAAGAAAATCTGATATGCTTGATTTTGCCTCAAAAGCCCTAGTCCGACACAGACTCATTTTGAACGGTCTGTCTGACAGATAATAAGATGCATACAGATCATGAAAATAAGGTGATATCAGCTTAAGGTCTTTGCCCTTTTTATTTTTCCCTCTTACTAATTCCAACCACCTAAGAAATGCGCATCAGAAACTAAGCAAGTTTTTATAAGGTTGAGAGGAAATAAGTTGGACCGTTCTGTTTAATATTGATGTATTAAATTACTTTGATTCATTTGAATGAAAAGTGCTACATAAATGAAATGTAAA